GTCGTCGTCGTAGTACTAGTACTAGTAGTAGTAGTAGTAGTAGTAGTAGTAGTAGTAGTGGTAGTAGTAGTAGTAGTCGTAGTAGTAGTACTTTTCTATACATGGAAGTAGAGATCGTCATCATCGTCAGCCTGGGCCGGAGTCCTATGTCATCGCTCTATTTACAGTTACAGTGCACGTCTTCACTATACAAGTACAGTACAGCGGTCCATTTCCAGCACCACTTCCACTACCACTAGGGCTAGTGCTACGACAAGAAGGACTACGCTTAAGACTGCAAGACTAGTGTTCGATGAAGCTTTGCATTTTAACTACTTGGCTGAACAACACCTAGGGAAGGCCCTACAGAAGGCCTTATAAAGCTTCAGATGTATAGGCCCCCAGCTATCCCTAGGACCCCTAGCACCGATCGAGATTGGAACACGAGGCACTTGTGTGATCAGCTCTGCTGCCAGTGCATAATCCTTGTGATCTATTAATGGTCGTGACACTCAGCCACGGTCTATGAAGAATCCTAAACGTATTGGCTTTCTGGATACTAAGGTTTGATGGTCGAGGCTTATATTGGGGTATATGGGGTTTGCCAGGGATTTTTTGGATTAAGAGGTTTAGGAGCATATAGGGTTTAGAAGGGTTTATAGGGTTTAGTATAATATTCTCAAGCCCCGTCAAACTCCCAACTCAGCTCACCTTTCGAACCGAAAACCACTCTGTGCAGTTGACTACCAGCACACCTGTAAAGTGATTGTACCCCCAAACCCCAATCCCGAAACAGTTCAACCGAGTTAAAAAAAGCAGCACTTTCGCATGCGATCGCCTCGCAACTGTCGAATCCCCGACAAAGCGCTACTCAAGCACATCACGAAGTGACGTGTTCCACCCGAGGCCTTTTAAAAGGCCAACACTTGCACAAGCCCACCATGTGCATGGAAGTATCTTCAACAAAAGTAGCTAAGCAAGTAATTGTCTCTTGGGCTGTAACAAGTGTTACCCCTGCCCAAAATCCATGAAGGGCTTTCAGCCTTCATTTTGTCTGGCTGCCAGGAGCCGGCGTCGCAGCTCCTTCACCTGGGATCAGAATGGGCCCGGATAAAAAAACAACTTCCGGCACCAGTTGTTCTGACGACTGGTACATGTATGGATATACAGGGTTTATGTCGAGCCTAAGCCGGTTCCTGTGAAGTACTTTAAGCTTGCAAGTCTATTGCATTGGTTTGTTTCCGGGCCATGAGATTAATAAGGGTGGGTCCAAAGGTTCGGGTAAACACACACACACACAGCCAAAAGGCTATTGTAGATAGCTTTGGATGCAGCTGGATCCCAAGATCCCTGTGACATCCTGGCTCACCCCCCTGAAAGGCTGCTAAATCCCAGAATGGGTTCGTAGGGTCCTGCTCAGGAATTAAAATAGCTATGATCAGGACTATTGGATCTAGGGCCCTGTAGCAATTTATAGTGGAGTGGACATTGTTCATGTTATATAGAGCCATTTAAGGTTTTAGTGAGTCTATAAAGGGTTTGGCTAGGTTTCCTAAGGTTCATTATAATGAAAGAACTTGTAAAAACTTCTACATCCCGCATTCGATGCCACCTGAAAGCGCGGATAAGCCTTCTCACTTCAAACCGGTGTCCAG